ATGAATTGTCAAAGTAGTATATCAAAATAGTGTGAATAAAGAATAGTATGAATTATCAAAGTAGTATATCAAAATAGTATGAATAAGCAAAATAGTAATATGTTGAGATAGGCTACCCCAATTAGCAAGGTTCAGGCTTACGCTTATCCATGGGAAGGGCTTACAATAAAGATCTTTCTACTAAGCATACAAGTATGCTGTTTTCTTCTTCCCATAGCGACAATCCTCCACTCGGCTGGGTTATCCTTCCGAAACCAAAGCCGGTACTTGGTACGCTTTATATACTTCTCTTTCTTGAGGAGAAACTCCTTATTTGGTGTTGCAACAACCTTTGCCCCACATTCGTTATCCGGGAGTTGACACCCGTACACCCAGTATCTCGGGAAGAGGAAGTGGAGGAGGGGAATCTGTTGGGAATGCACAAACAGATCATAGTCTAACGAACAATTAGAACAAGGTTATTGCTCTAAAGCACATAAATCACTCAGTCGGCTGAGACCATTATCTTGTCTTTCATGAGTTACGATCAAAAGCCCGAAACAAATCCCCTCATCTATTGCTGTTCTCGTTTGTTACAGTTACTGGCTGCAAACTTTGTTCTCAACCGAGTATGCTTCCCCCAACCGGCCCCCACTTCAACTCCGAGACTTATCTGAAGATATATAGAGTGATGGAGTTAAGTTCGTTTGGCGATGGTATAAATTGGGCTTGATGAATCGGTGAAATGATGGTGATAATAAATATCATCATCAGTAAATCATGTTAGAAGCTATCAGTTCCCCCCGTGCTCCAAGTCCAATGCCGGACGAGTCAGTCATTGGACATTTGAGAGATGCCTCTCTTTTACAGCCAGGTCTGAATAAATCAAGAGCAACTGCCGATATGGCAGATCAAATAAACCCTCCCCTTGTCTACCAACCTTATGATAACGATATCCCGATTGATAAGATCTATGGGAAAGAAACTCCAACTCCTGATTTGTATAAATCAAACTTATTGGATTTAGCTAATGATTGGTGTACTAAGTTCAACAATGGTCAAATCAATGATTTGTTTGTTCCTCATGCTTCTTGGAAAGACCATTTATCTCTTTCTTGGGATTATCATCAATATCATGGATTTGATAAAATCAAACATGCTCTTAAGTCCCAGCAATCGTCTTTTAATTTGAAAAATTTAACGGTCAATACTAAAGCTGATATGAGATTTGAAAATAGTATCAGTGTCCAGACGATTCATCCTGCCACTGAGTCTAATCCAATTCCAATTGAATGGCTTCAAGTCGTTGTTAATTGGGAGAATAATTTTGGTTTCGGGATTGGGTGTATTCGTTTCGTTGCCGTCAACAATACTTTAAAAGCCTTGTCTGTTTTCACTGGGTTGGAAAACATTCGTGGGAATGAAGAAAAAATTGGGAAACGTAGACCTGAAGGGGTAAATCATGGTCAACATAAGGGTAGAACTTCTTGGTTGGAAAATAGACAAGAAGACTTTAAATGGGGTGACAGTAAAAACCCCACTGTTTTGATTGTTGGTGGTGGTCAAGGTGGGTTGAATACCGCTGCTAGATTGAAAATGATGGGCATTGATTGCTTGATTGTGGAAAAAAATCCAAAAATTGGTGATAATTGGAGAAATAGATATAAATTTTTGGTTTTACATGATCCTGTTTGGTATGATCATTTGGCTTATTTGAACTTTCCTCCTAATTGGCCCATTTTCACTCCAAAGGATAAGCTAGGTGATTGGTTTGATCATTATGCTCAATCAATGGAATTGAGCTATTGGACTAATAAAACCGTTTGTGGTTGTGAATTTAACAATGGGGTTTGGAAAGTTAAAATGGTTGATAATGATTCTGCTGAAGTTACTTATTTAAATCCAAAACATTTAATTATGGCTACTGGTCATTCTGGTGAACCAAATATCCCTCATTTCAAAAATGAACACTTATTTAAGGGTAAAATTGTTCATTCTTCTCAACATAATACTGGTAAAATGTTCCAAGGTGAAAATGCCATTGTTCTTGGTTGTTGTAATTCAGGTCATGATATTGCTCAAGATTTTTATGAACAAGGTGCTAAACCTATTATTGTTCAAAGATCTTCAACCTGTGTTATTAATAGTGAAATCGGTTTAAGAGTTACCACTGAAGGATTATTCGAAGAAGATGGTCCTCCAACGGAAATTGCTGATTTGTATTTAAATTCATTTCCAATGAAATTGTTAAACTTGGTTCAACAACAACAGTATCGTAAAATTTGTCACCTAGAAAAAGATTTGCAAGAATCTTTAACTAAGGCTGGCTTTAAATTAGATGCCGGTTATGGTGGTACAGGACTTTTCGGTAAATATTTTAGAAGAGGTGGTGGTTATTACATTGATGTTGGTTGTTCTAAATTACTTGCAGATGGTAAGATCAATATTAAGCAAGGGGTTTCCATTGATCATTTTACTGAAAATGGCGTTGTATTTACCGATGGTACTGAAGTAAATAATTTGGCTATCGTGGTGTTAGCTACTGGTTACTCGAACATGCGTGATACTGCAAGACGTATTTTTGGTGATCAGGTCGCTGATAAATTGAACCCTGTTTGGGGCCTTGATGAAGAAGGTGAATTTAAAACCATGTGGAGAGATTCAGGTCATCCAAATTTTTACTATATGGGTGGTAATTTGGCTGTATCAAGATATTATTCTAAGAAATTGGCTTTAAGAATTGTAGCCCAAGAAAGGGGTTTCTTGAAGCAAGATAATAACTAAGTAGTCTTTCTATCGTAAGCCATGATTTAAATGAATTTGTGTAACTCAATAAATGTTTTTAAATAATTTTTTGCAATCTAAAATTCCTTAAAGGAATGACATGGCCGCATTCTTCGTTTACGAAGATGTCAACTTATTCATATTCGTCAATTTGCTCCTCCAATCCTAGTGGGCCAATAGTTGCAATGGCCTAAGCGTTTTGGCAATTGTTTTACTAAAGTATGAAAAAACAATCCACTTATGAATAATAGGCTCGTAAGTACTTCTTAATTTGGCTCCTAAGTAGCCCCAAAGTCGTATTTGATAAAATGCGTTTCAAAAATTAGCTTTTTAATTCAAAAAGTTTTCCCATCTCAACATTTCAAAAAGAAACTGTAGTGGTTTCTTTTAGAATGTTCCATTCAAGTTAAAATTGCAAAATGGCTAACTTAATTTTTAAACAATATCAACTATTTCCAAAACTTTAATCATATTATATGATATATTTCAAATAAAATATGTAAAAACAGATACGGCTTTGTATCAATTTGCAACAAATTTGGCACTTTCTTAAATGTAGCCAAAAACAGAATGCGAACTTCGCAAATGACTACTTTTTCGGCAGATTTTGCATCAATATTAACATTAAAAACCAGAACACTGAATATGACGTTGAAGGGCAACTTGTATGAGGATCCATAGCTCAAGTTTGTCAACCCATGTGCTGAGTATAAGGGATTATTCATATAAAAAGGTCTGCTTTTCAGCTCAATTTTAAATGAAATAACTCCAATTATATCATAAATAATACAAATAATTTTGACTCAAAATGCTTCCTCATTTACGTGATACTTCCTTTTCCAATTTCGTTGGCCTTGCCTTGGTTATTAGCTACATGGTAAATGGTATTTTTTCTTGGAGACTTACCAATTATGACTTGAAAGTCTATTCTAGTTTGTTAGGTGTTGTTTGTGGGGCTGCTGCCGTTTCAGGTGCTTGGCCCTCTTGCTTGATTGCAGCCGTTGCTGGAGGTCTTGTTACTGCTGCTAAAGCTTTTAATCAAGGGGGTGACACCAACGGAAACGTCAGACGTGGAAGTGGAATTATTCATTTAGCCAGTAATGGTACTGTCATTTCTGAAAACTTCCACCCACTGCACACCACTACTGGTGTTTGGGATAAGATTATCAACGAAGGTAACACTTATGATGTCACTAATAATGGGACTTTTTTTATTTTGAAAGGAAATTTGCAATCAAAAGGATTCACTAGCCACTTGTTTAAAAGAAGTGACCAATCCAAAGCTATGAAATCCATACTGCTGTGGACTTTAATTCTAAAAGTTGGCCAAACTTAGGAACACTGGATGCAAATGCGTTGGCAAAACGAGTTGCTTTAGTTTGTGGTGGTACCAAGGCTTGTGATTTGGGTGCTGTTCTCGACGCAGAAAATAGCGACAAAGAATACATTCGTTTTATTATTCAAAGTATTAACAATGGTGTGCCTTACGATCCAAGTCCATAATTTCTACTATAGCTCTGAATTATTATTTGTGATCAATTGTTTACACATTTATGTAAAATATTGCAAAAAATCAGAGTAACATTTTCATTAAGTTTTTTTCAGTTTAGTCTGAAATCTGTTTTTTCTTACCTATATACTCAAGTGAATTCTTTAAAATTACAACATATTAATGTAGAATGGTTTACGATATTTTAGATTCAACACGAAGCAACATGTGTTTGCATCTCGTTGTAGTTTTGACATATTTTTAATTTCCATTGTCTCAAAAACTGCACATCGACTGATTTTAAACTATTTCAACTACAATAGTCATTCGAAACTCGTGAAAAGTTATTTCACGTCATGCAGGTGACCAATATTCGCTTTTTAAGGGAGTAGTTGGAACTGCTGGTCTAAAATAAAGTTATTTAAGATTGGTTTGAAGCATTTACCTCTAGTGCACGATATAGAGCTA